TCTCCATCTCCTCCTCCTCCTTTCTTTTCTTCCTCTTCCTCTTCTCCTCCCCTTCTTTCCCTCCTCCTCCTCCTCCTCTATCTCCTCCTCCTCCTCCTCCTCTTCCTCCACTAAAATCCAGTCCTCCTACTAACCAGGGGGATTCTGGGAGTTCTAACTCGTTGTCCAGCAAGCCAAGCAGAAAAACTTCATGTTGCACGTTCGGTTCCGACTCTCAACTTCTTTAAGCATCCACCAGAGACGGTCAAAAGCGCCTTCGGATACAAAGAGTGCCCATCATCCTGTCGTCTTTCTCCTTTGCAGGAAGTTGCACTGTACCCGGAATTATATCCACATGCATCTATTTATGTCCTTCGTCCTTCGTGCGGTGGCCGTCTTCGTCAAAGACTTCATTCTCTTCGAAAGCAGAGAATCAGAGTACTGCTCCATAAGCTCGGTCAGTCTCGTCCATTGTCCACTCTGTCCGGTGTCCTCCTACCTTTGAACGTCAGTTCGCCACCCCCCAGTCATTTAACTAACGGCAGTCCTTGACTTATGACCGCAGTTCAGCCCCAAACCTCCATTGCTAAGTGAAACATTTGTTTAGCGGGTCTTGCCCCAATTTATGACCTTTCTTGCCAACGGTTGTTAAGTGAATTGCTGCAGCTGTTAAGTTGTTAAGCGAATCAAAGCTTCCCCCATTGACTTGGCAGATCAGGAGGTTGCAAGAGGGACCCCTGGACGCTGCAACCGTCATAAATATGAGTCAGTTGCCAAGCCTCTTGACTTTTGATCGCGTGACCCTGGGGACGCTGCAGCGGTTGTAAGTGTGAAAACTGGTCATTGTCAAGATTCCGGCAGTTCCCCCCCCCCTCCCCCATTTAAACCATGAGTCTCGAGCCAAACTTCCAAAACTTCAGAAGGATTTATTGGGAGTTAAACTCTCCGGCACTGCCTGGGTGTAGCCGACTCTGAGACATATAATCTATTGTCACCCTTGACCCTGGTTTTCCCCTCCACCCCCTGGGTGTATCATAATTCATATTCTCCAATGGGACACATCCCTAGCCAAGAGTCATCCATCATGCTCTCCAATTAGAAATTTGCGCAGCAGAAACTCCAGTCACCCATTTCCTATCTTTGAAAACATTGATGGAATGCACTTTCGGTTTGCAAGCTGCTGCACTGTTCTCCCCGCTCCTTTTCCATTGGCAAGTCTAAAAAAACCCATAGAAATATTTTATAAGTTGACAGTCATAAGTTCACTTTTTCAGTGTTGTTGTTGCAATTTTGAAAGGTCACTAAAGGAACTGTTGTAAGTCGAGGACTACCTATCTTGTGGTTGCGTCATTTCTTTTCCTCCTTTCCTGAAATGTATAAATACGAGCATATTCCTTCGGTCTGGAGGAGCCCCTGCCATCGTTTTTTAAACGGGACAGGTAGTCAACCCTAGAACGGTCGTAAGCGTGAAAAACGTTCATAAGTCAGTGCCTTCGTAACTTTGAATGTCACGACGAACTGTTGTAAGTCGAGGACCCCACCCTCAAGTTTAGTGTGTAATTTCAAATGGTCACTAAATGAATATTTGACCGCAGATCAAACAGGGCCTCGCCTTTTCAAATAACTAAAACTCTCCTTTTTTAATTGCCTAGTTAAATTTGTCGGTTTCAATCTTTGTGTAAAAACACATCCGGAGTGTGAAAACCAAGCAGGATATTGCTAATATAAGCCAGCCGGCACAAGCTAATAAATTCCAACCATAGGTGGAAAAAATAATAACAACAGTATACATAATATTGTGTAATGTTTTTTTCCCCAAACAGTTGGCTTCTTAGCATGTGTTGGAGCAGGTTTAAGTCCTGAGGAGAGAGGAAATATATACATATATATATATATGTATTTTCAATTTTGCCAAGTCATTTTTACAGTGTGTAAATATGAAGAGGTCTTCGGGGTTCGTCGTTCTTACAGAGGGCAGAAGGATTATACAAAGAAACACTATAAAAAAGACAAACAGCCTTAATAACCGGTTGTATCCTTTCTGATTTATGGCTGTTTCTTTCCAAGCGACAATGACTGCACTTCCTGAACTCATTTTCCTCCTCCTATTTTCCACACAAGACAATCCTGTGAGGTTGGTTGGAGAGAGAGGGGGGGGGGAATAGGGAGAGAGAGAGAGAGAGAGAGAGAATAGCCCAAAGTTACCTAGCTGGTTTTGGAGCTAAGCAGAACTAGAATTCCCAGGCTCCTAGTGATTGGCCCAAAGTCTCCCAGGCGGCTTTCATGCTAAGTTGGGACTAGAACTCTCTCTCTCCTAGTGACTGGCCCAAAGCCACCAA